GTGTATCCTAGTGTATCCACTGTATCCACTGTATCCAGTGTATCCAGTGTATCCAGTGTATCCAGTGTATCCAGTGTATCCAGTGTATCCAGTGTATCTACTGTATCCAGTGTATCTTAGTGTATCCACTGTATCCAGTGTATCCGGTGTATCCGCATTATCCACTGTATCCTAGTGTATCCTAGAGTATCCAGTGTATCTACTGTATCCAGTGTATTCAGTGTATCCAGTGTATCCTAGAGTATCCAGTGTATCTACTATATCCACTGTATCTACTGCATCCACTGTATCCACTGTATCCACTGTATCCACTGTATCCACTGTATCCACTGTATCCACTATATCCACTGTATCCACTGTATCCACTGTATCCACTGTATCCACTGTATCCACTGTATCCCCTGTATCCAGTGTATCCTAGAGTAATCAGTGTATCCTAGTGTATCCACTGTATCCACTGTATCCTAGTGTATCCACTGTATCCACTGTATCCACTGTATCCAGTGTATCTACTGTATCCACTGTATCCACTGTATCCACTATATCCACTGTATCCACTGTATGCAGTGTATCCGCTGAATCCAGTGTATCCTAGTGTATCCAGTGTATCCTAGTGTATTCAGTGTATCCTAGTGTATCCACTGGATCCTAGTGTATCCAGTGTATCCTAGTGTATCCAGTGTATCCAGTGTATCCAGTGTATCCAGTGTATCCAGTGTATCCACTGTATCCACTGTATCCACTGTATCCACTGTATCCACTGTATCCACTGTATCCACTGTATCCACTGTATCCAGTGTATTCTCTGTATCCTAGTGTATCCACTGTATCCACTGTATTCTCTGTATCCTAGTGTATCCAGTGTATCTACTGTATCCAGTGTATCTTAGTGTATCCAGTGTATCCACTGTATCCAGTGTATCCGCTGTATCCACTGTATCCTAGTGTATCCAGTGTATCCAGTGTATCCTAGAGTATTCAGTGTATCTACTGTATCCAGTGTACCCAGTGTATCCAGTGTATCCAGTGTATCCGCTAAATCCAGTGTATCCTAGTGTATCCAGTGTATCCAGTGTATCCTAGAGTACCCAGTGTATCTACTGTATCCACTTTATCCACTGTATCCACTGTATTCAGTGTATCCGCTGAATCCAGTGTATCCTAGTGTATCCAGTGTATCCTAGTGTATCCAGTGTATCCTAGTGTATTCAGTGTATCCTAGTGTATCCACTGTATCCACTGTATTCTCTGTATCCTAGTGTATCCAGTGTATCCAGTGTATCCAGTGTATCCAGTGTATCCAGTGTATCCAGTGTATCTACTGTATCCACTGTATCCTAGTGTATCCAGTGTATCCTAGTGTATCCAGTGTATCCTAGTGTATTCAGTGTATCCTAGTGCACGATGTCGTGCTACGTCTACGATAACCGTGCCTCGAAGACCAGCATCCTTGAGTGATCCGTATATCCTAGTGTATCCAGTGTATCTACTGTATCCAGTGTATCCACTGTATCCTAGTGTATCCAGTGACAAGTTCCAGACAATCAGTTTTGGACAGAGAATACAGTGGATACAGTGGATACACTAGGATACACTGAATACACTAGGATACACTGGATACACTAGGATACAGAGAATACAGTGGATACACTAGGATACACTGGATACAGTAGATACACTGGATACACTGGATACACTAGGATACACTGGATTCAGCGGATACACTGGATACAGTGGATACACTAGGATA